GCGTCTCCACGTTACACGGCTTTGTCGTGGACGAGCTGTCCCATTCCGTTGACCAGAAGGCTGTGGCGTTTCACTCAAATTTTCTAAAATTGGGTCATTATGATTATCAAAAATAAGAAGTGGATCAACAGTACTACTTTCCATAGGTATATCCATATCTTCAACAAATTCTTCATCTTCTAAATCCGCTAATAACTGCCTATTATTCTCGAAGTAAACTTCTTCATCATCCTCTTCTCCTGCAGAGGATTCCATATCATCCTCAGACTGGTCCAGGTTCTGGAGGTAGTCCTCAATAACTTGATCATTCAGCCTTCTCGCCATTCTAGAAAAAAATACGATTAGACTTTAGATAAAATACGGTAAATATATCACTCAAAAATGAAATTTCTATGAAAGTAAATTCGCAATGTTGCACTTATGCAACAAACGGCTTTTGAAGAAAAAAGTATATCAAACAATGGAATTTCCATAAAATTATTTATTTATTTTTCTTTTGATATTATAAGTAATATAAAAATAAAAAAACAAACAACACTTACCTTATAGAATTATAAAACAACTGAATAACAATTTTACACTAATTGCTTTTTACGTTTACCCGCGCCCGCGATATTATAAATTGTGATTATGAAGTTTAGAAATTTGCAATCGACCCGCCAATCGAACTGTCAAAATAAATATAATTGTCATCTATAATCTATGGTAGTTTACATTCGGATACACGAAACGAAATCTATCAAATCCTTTGAATATTCGATATGTTGCAGATATGCAACAACGCGTGTTTAAAGTTTAAATTATTGTTCTAATATTAATATAGTATACAAATATTTTATTTACTTACTATTTTATACAAACAATATATATTATATTTATACAAACGCATACAAAAACAAATAGTGATTTAGTATATAATTATTTATACAATACTATATTTAAATAATTAAGTACTACTATTTAATACTAACTATAACTAATATATATTTATTAACCATAATACAAGTGTATGTATGTTTATTACCTACTAACCTACTAACATTTAACAATTAACTGTTTAAAACAACAATATCAAATAATTTAAAACAATAAATGAGTGGAGGCACGCCACAAAACTATAATACACACTGAAATACACGGAAATGCACGTGATATATTTTAGGTGAATATAGGATAAGGGTGCTAGGAAAATCTCGAGGGAAAACAGAGTTTTATGCTTACCCCACGAGCATGACCGATGCTATGTTTCCCGGCTGTGAGTCTTGTTTGGTGTCTGCCACCCCGCTGTAGGTTTCTACTCTGCGTCTTCGAGGGAAGCCCAGGAGTTGTACTGAACTTTTCTTATAGATCTCGGGTACCGACTGCGCCAGTTAGTATGCGGGCGGAGGCTTTGGAGACTTGGTTGCCACGTCTATAATCGTCTTCAGCGATGCCTCGACACATTTGTTGAGGGCAACGCTGGTCTGGTCCTCCTCTGTCTCGAACAGCGAGAGATGGGCCGGATGGTATGGTGGCCCTTGCCTCGCTGTTCGCAGTGACGCGGCCACCTCGGCATCGGCATCGACGCTGAAGGGCCGGCTCCGTCCGCGTTTTAATTTGAGGGCTGCCCCCTTGACGGGAGCAGCGCCACTCGTCTCCTCCGGGTCAGAAGGGGGGCCCCTTCCTCTTTTGAGGAAGGCCCTTCTATAGGACTCCCCGGACAAATATCCGGGTAATACAATATTCCGAGTCAAATTCGGTGTTGGACGCCGTAGCGCCACTGTCCATGCCAAACGAGTCGCACCGCGTCAGCATAACTCTGAGCGTGCGCCCGTTGTTGGCGAGTGACTCGAGCCACTGATCTCTCCCGCTCTGGGTCGAAGTGCTCGTGCCCCCGCTTTCCTCCTGTCTTAAAACCTACGTCCTGTTCACTTGCCTCGATGTCCATTTCCGTTGCCAGGGTCGTCGTTGTATTTGAGTAGCAGTCCTTGCCCCCCCCAGAATACGCGGGGCTGCCCGCAGCCGAGGCCGCGGGGAGGGATTCTCCTCCAGCTGAACTGGAGGTACCCTCCTGGGGTAAATTTGTATTGAGGGATGCCATCATTTACTTTTCCAGTGTTGTCGGACACCGGAAACCGCCTTTATTACGGGGTAAGGTCCCCACGACGCGCGGCCTACAAGGCCGCCATCCTCCGACCCATCAGGGTCCACTGGTGTTTCCCGCGGGCCTGTCCGGTATGGGAGGCCCTGTCCGGCATAGCCCCGCGGAAAACACCCCTCCATTCCGCACGGCGGCACCTCAGTGCGCGCCGCGCCCTGCACCGCCCAAAGGGCGTGCCTGGGCCCCGACCAGGGCCTGCGCTAAGCGCAGGACCTGATAAGAGCCCCATAGTGTCCGCGGGCCTGCCCGGTATGGGTAGCCCTATCCGGTATAGCCCCGCGAACACTATTCCCTCCCCGGCCGGTTGCTAGCCTCCCCACAGAAGGTGGGGAGTTTCCAGGGTGCACTACGAGGAAGTCACCGGCCACCGCACCCCAACCTGTCTTCACCTTGTGTAACATTAAATAACTCGTTCCTTGTTATACTGGGTGGCGCAAAAGTAAAGACCCTATTTGGTTCAGCTATAACATTTTTTCTAAATTAGAAAACTAGATTTAGGTTTTTTTAAATGTATATTTGTGCCATTAAATTTCGTACCATTAGGATTTAAAGATGATGTCTTTTAAATGGTGACCTCCAGAGTTGATACACATTTGAGCCCTATTTATGACATTTTGCATAACTTGCCGTAACACTTCCTGCGATATGTTCGTTATTTCTTGACGAATGTTTTCTTTTAGAGCTGCGAGAGTCTGTGGCTTGTTCACATACACCCGAGATTTCAAAAAACCCCAAAGAAAGAATTCTGGACTGGTCAGATCGGGTGATCTTGCAGGCCAAGGCAAATCGCCAAAACGAGAGATAACTCGGCTTGGAAAAGCGTCCCTCACTAAGTCCATAGTGTCGCGCGCTGTGTGTGCCGTAGCGCCGTCTTGTTGAAACCAGATGTGCTCCAGCCCCAATTCGTCCAAACTGGGTATCAAAAACTCACGTAACATGGTTCTGTAGCGTTCTCCAGTGACAGTTATCGCATTGCCTCCAGCGTCTTCGAAAAAATAGGGTCCGATCACTCTGTCAACACAGATGCCACACCATACAGTAACTTTTAGTGGGTGTAGAGGTGTTTCTTGAATAATGCGCGGATTATCAGTGCCTCAGAACCGAGTATTCTGCTTATTGACATGCCCTGAGAGATGGAAATGCGCTTCGTCACTCATAACCAATTTTGAAGGAAAATCATCCTCTTCAAGGTTGAGGTTTATGACGCGCTGGCAGTAATCTAGACGAGCTCGGTGGTCAGCAGGCAGCAGTTGATGAGTCATTTGAGTTTTATACGGGAACATCTTTAAGTCTTTCACCAAAATACGCTGCAGGGTCCGTCTGGAAATGCCCAATTGCGTGGCACGTCGCCTCGTTGATGTTTCTGGACACTCTTCCACATCTTCAAACTTTTTGAGCACGTGTTCAAAAGTATGTGATTCAGATGCGTTTAAGTTGAAAGAGTTGTAAATTTTGATTCCATTTTCTCCAATGAAATTGAGCAGAATTGATATTTTTCTTTTATCTTTGGCGTCATCAAGGCCATTAGCAGACAAATATATCTATCTCTAACCTCTGACGATAAGTTTTGAAATTTTCGGCGAGGTTACCTTTGAAATCCATACTGGGTAAAAGTGGCAGAAACCCCACACCTGACACCATGTTTCCGTTGGACGTTTCCGACATATTTGTAATTTATTAAAACCACGTATTATTTATATCGCACATTTATTCAACCTGCCTTTTACACCTTCCATTACTAACTGTCACATTTCTATGTTGCCAGTATCTTATAAACAAGTCCATCTCGCAATGATTGCGAGCAAACTCTAGGCGATCTCTGCGATGCTGTGCAGTAAGGTTTGGACCTTTAGCAGGTCTATGGGCTGTTAAACTATTTTCGTGTAACCTTCTTCTTATCGTAGAAACACTTACAGATGTTCTCCGAGTTGATCGAAGCTGTTGTTGCAACTCAACAGCATTTGTAAAATGGTTTTGTAAAGATGTTTTAACGACGAAACGGTCATCTCTTTCTGATGTGCACCGTTTTCTTCCAGATCCCGGTGTTCTAACATAACCACCAGTCTGCTGAAAACGTTGGAACACCCGTCGAATTGAAAAACGGGACAGGTTCAACTGTTGAGCAACGTCACACTGCCGCATCCCCGACTGCAATAGGTCAATCACTTGAGCGGCTTCTTCAGAGCTGGTGTCCATCTTTACTTGTTCTTACTTGGGTTAATTGTTCACGTGTGTTTACTGCAAAGTCTACTTACGACGACCCATAAATATGGTGAAGAAATCATCCAGATCGACCCTTTTATACCCTTATCCCTTAAATGCATGATTTTATTTTTAGACCGAGAAAAAATATATTTTGGAGCCATGAATATGCTGATTTAGGGAAAAATAATAAAAAAATAGTTTTTTTTTATTTTCATAGCTATTTTTATTAAAAACCATTTGTTGCAGAACTACAACACTATGCACTCACTAGACAATAACTACATATGAAAATTTTTAAAACAATTTTTGGTTGTGGTAAGACAAAGAGCTACTCCACACTTCTCACACCTGTTTTGCGTTTATCTCTTGCATCCAGGCATTTTGCATCTGCTGCGAACACAAATACCAGGCCAGTGACCAACATTATCAGTCCTTATGTCCTTAGGAGGAATATGTTGAGCTGGTCCTCTCCTTTTTTTTGCTTGTATTTCCATTTCAACACTGTTGCTGGTACTTGGCCTTCCTCTTTTGTTGCAGAGTTCAAATGAGTTATTTACTTTGGCTAATACCTCAGCTAGTTCCAGTCTATAGTTACATAGGTTTCGAACTGATGAATTGGCTTCAGTTGTTTTTAAATTTTTATACACAAGCCAAGAATTTATTACCGTCATGTCCAATAAGTGGTAAAAGATACGAAGATACCACTTTCGGCTTCTCATTGCAATTCGGTACCTCCCAATAAAGCTATCCATTAGGTCCACTCCGCCCATATGGGCATTATATTCCTTTATTATATGTGGGCATGAAATTTTAATTCTAGTCTTATTTGTCTTGTCAAATCTTTCTACTTGGCCCACAGGTTCAGCTCCAACATATGAAGATAGAAAAGTTACAACTTTATTGTCCTTCAAGTAACTGCTGTCAAATCAATACCGTCAAATTCAGTCATCTGCTCTTCATAAGTTCCACGAGGAACAGATTTCTTCATCATTGTTTTTTTGTCCGGCAGTTTGCTGTTCACTAGCCTGTTAGATTGCACAGTACCTAGGCTATAGATTCCTTGTTTGGCAAGATAGGTAACTAAAGGTACAGAGGTGTAAAAATTATCAAAATAAATTATATGATTTATATGCCTTGGGACACCTCTAGCAAGCCGGACTACAACATTTCCCACTGGCCCAAAATCTGGTTCATCTGGAAGCCGTTCATTTTCTTGGCCAGTATATATTTCAAATTTATGAGCATAACCTTTCACGCTGCACATCACATATAATTTAAACCCCTACTTATGGGGCTTATTAGGTAAATACTGCTTCATGAATTGAGAGTTTTTGTTCCATAGGAACTAAAGCAAATTTCTCATTTAGATGCCTAATTATAGGCCTTATCTTATGGAGCCTATCATGTTGTGAGTGTTCCTTGGGTAAATGTTTCTCGTTATTGTTGAAATGTAGAAATCTACGAATAGTCTCAAATCGGTTGACAGTCATTATGTCCTTGATTGGTTGAAAACCTACAGTATTTGACCAGTATAGCCGTACATTGGGATATTTTATAACAGACATGTATATCAGTATCGCCATAAACTTTCTTAGCTCAGTTTCAGATAAATTTAATGGTTTAGTCACATTTTTTTGAACGGAATACAAATTAGACTCTTCCACAATCCTTTGAACTATTTCTGATGTAATAAAATGTGAAAAAATACGATAGGGAGTACCAGTAGTAGCCTCATCCTTCAGTTCAGGTGGGTATGTAGTGTCTCCATGAAAAGCTGTCTGGTCAGAATTCAAAACAATTTTTTTTACCTTCCATACGAGTCCTCTCATAGTTGCTCGGCGACTAGCTTGACTTGTTGAGGGGAATGGAACCTGTGGCACTTGATCATTTGCTGTAGCTTCATTTATCAATGGCGGGTCTCCTGCCATGAATGGATCATTATCGGGGTCATCATTTTCCTCTTCTAATGGGCTCTCAAGATCGTGAAGCAAATCGTCTCCATTTTCATAAAAATTCTCATTACCTTCTGTATCCGAGTCCTCAAGATCATCTTCCGAAATCTCTCCATCATTTATTAGAGCTAAATACTCTTCTATTTGCTTTTGATTCAAGTATGGCATCTGAAAACCAATAAAAGTGATAGTTAGTAACTAAACAGGGACATTTTCTAGTAAATGCATATTGTTGCAGATTTACAACAA